GTGTAGAGTAAGGCATATAACATAACGATATGGGCCAAGCCCAACTTGAGCCCAAAAGGTACACTCTCCCTATAAAAGGGGGCTAAGGTATCCCATTATCACATTCTTTATAGATTCATTTACTACATTATCTTTCTCTCATTGGATTGGAGACTGACTTAGGCATCGGAGGCCCGACGCCGGGACCCCTACTGGCGTTGGGTTCTGCAGGTGCGGAGGCCGTTCGAGTTGAAGGAGCCCGAGTGAAATCTATTTCACTTCAACTTGCCTCCTTGGTCAACATGTACATCTCCTCAATTTGACTTTCTCCCTCACAATGAATCATGCTGAGTAGTGAATGCTCAGAAATTTGGCGGCAATTAGCCTCTGGATTTAGGGCCTGTAGTGTAACCTTTTTCCCTTTTAGGTTGATAGAGACAGTCATTGTGTTGTAGTCCAACTCTATGGGGGTGCAAGTCCTAAGCCAATCTCCTCCCAGTATAACATCACTTTCTTCACTTTGCAGTACTCTGAGAGAATGTGTCACTTCTTGACCCTGCATATCCCATTTAAGGTTAGTGGCCTGTAAGTGACTGATGAGCTTCTGTCCATTGGCCAGTTTCACTTTTAGTGGTTTGACTGGAGTTAAAAGACACCCTAATGATTTGGCTGTTGACTCCTTAATAAAACTCAAAGTGCTCCCAGTATCCAGCAAGATGTGCAGCCTCTTATCCCCAATGTATCCATAAAACCTCAGAGTAGTAAAGCCTCCTTCACCTGTCATTGTATATAGTGAAATATGCACTTCCTCAATAACTTCACTATCCCCAACAGGCTCTAAATTGCTCAGATCTTCAGACTGAAAATAGGCCAGTTCCTCATCTTCAGTCGTATCATGTAATTAACCCTGTGTTTACACCTGTGCCCAGGCACAAACTTCTCATCACAATTATAGCACAAACCCCTCTCTCTCCTTGCAGCCATTTCAAAAAAAGTAAGCAATTTGGTATTTGTTTTTTTTTTTTTGAAAAGTGGTCTGAGGGTTCCTGTGAGTGGTGTTGTTGTTTTGTGTTGCCTTCTGAGTATATGTTTGTGGTGTTTGTGAGTAGGACCTCTGAGTGTTCTTTACCCTCTTGGTGATGGCATCCAGGGTATGTAGTTGAAGCTGGCTTAATTGAATTGTTTGCTGCAGTGTCCTAGGGTTGAACATGCGTAGAAATGATTGCAATTCCTCACTGAGCCCGCTTAAAAAGCTAGCAATAAAATAATCTTCAGAAAACTCTCCCTGATTCATGAGCTGCATACATGCCCTTAACTCTTCAAATTTGTCAACATAATCAGCATAAGAACCAGTATGCCTTAGTTTGTTAAATTCAACAATAATTTTGACCTCCTTTAGCTCTTCAAACTTGGCAAACACAATTTCTACATACTGACCCCAATTCAACTCAAGTTGTTTGGCACTCAGGTTTTGGAACCATAAGGCAGCCTTGCCTTCTAAATGCATCAAGGCAAGGGTGAATTTCTAAGTTTCTGAGACATTGGGTACTAATTTGAAATACCCATTGCATTTTAAGATCCAGGCCCTAGGGTTGGAACCATCAAACTTGGGGAATTCAATTTTAGGAGCTGGGTTCATGTAGTGGATGTTCTGTTTACTTGCTTGTTCCTGTTGTAGCTGCAGTTTATGCTTGCCCAGAATGGATCCTTCATCATCACTGTCCTTATACTTGTTTAAAATTTGAAGTTGCAGTGCTGCTATTGTATTTGGTAGATGGCCAAGCTTCCCAGTGACTTCAGATTTTTGCTCAAATAACTCCAGGTTCACATTTTCAACAATTCCTTTGATTTGAGAGCTGATTACCTCCATTGTCTCTTGCATTTTTAATTCTGAAGCTTCCCTCTTAAGAACTTCAGTCTGTAACAGTTGATCCATCTTTTTCTGGAAATCTTGCAGCTCCGTGCCCCTGGTTCCTTCAGCCATGATCCAAGGAAGTCTAGCTCTGGATACCAAATGTTATGACCCGAGACAGATTTTTAATATTTTTGTATATTTGTTGGGATTTTTATTTAAATACTTTAAGATAGAATGGAGAAGAAGGAGTTTAGAGAGAATGTAGAGAGAAGGGGAGGATTTAGAGAGAAATGGGAGAGAAAACATGTAACATAACTGATTTGATGCCTTTCTTCATTTATTTCCCAAGTATTTAACAACTTGTTGGGCCCCATGTGATGTTTTCACTCAGCTGGGTAAAACCCGTATCACTATTTTCACTTAACAGAAAATGCTAAATTTGCAAAAGGAAAATTAAAGTTGAAATAGAAAAGATAACAATAATATTCTCCACTTCAATGCTTCTCCCTATTACTCCACGTGTTCAGCTAGAATGACACGCTCCTCCTCGCGATCAATGGTCGTGATCTTGCAACGCGGCGACTTCACCTTTTCACTCCGTTCTTCTGACATAACACTAGCTTTTGTCTCAGTCACCATCTTCCCCAAATCGATCGATCTGTTCTCTTCATCATTCTCACCATGCCATTTCTTCCTTTTGTTCGAAACTCTCATTTTCTTTAGCAGATTCATAACAGGAGCAAACTAAGACAGCTGTCGACGCCCGAGCTAAAGATGAATCTACTGGGCCCGATTTAGATATGGAGATGAATACTTGCATCAATCTCCAGTGGGTTATCGAACAATGCGATAACGAATTTATGATATTGACGAGCTGAGATAATTTTTGTTCTGGAAGCTCGAAAAGTACAACTTCGATCGTGAAATCAAGGGCATGCATATCGAGTCAGATTACGACGAGAGGGAATTTTGAGAATGGATGCTTAACCAAGCTGAACAGATGAACAATAATCCACGCTTGCCTCCCCTTACAGAAGAGCGCGAGGCCCTTCTCTGCCGAGCTTATGTGAATATGATCTTGGATGGAGAGAGGAGAAAGAAAGGAATTGGCTGATATCTATATCGGTACTCTAACCGACGTCGTTGTAGAACAAAATTTTGATGACATGACCCCCGAGCAGATTCGAGAGAGGGTTGAAGCTTATGCTGCAGAGAAGGCATGAAAGTCCCAGGGAGGTGAAGCTGGCGGTATTGAAATAGTTCCTGAAGTGGAAAAAATTCCAAATGAATCAACTGATCCCCTGCATGAGTTTGTCCCTATTTCGGATGCAGCCATTGATGCAGTAGCAAAGGCTAAAGAAATGGCTGTGCTCGATAGGCTTCACGAGCAGCTTCTACAACCGACGACTCTGGAGGTTGGAGAAAGTAGCGGCGCTGGCCGAAGTGACAGCGGCAAAGAAGATGCGTGTGATTTATTTGTGTTTATGTTTTGGTTATTTTGGTAAGTTTATTTGTAACAGGTTATCCGTCTGTTGATGTCCGTAGTAGGCCATAATATAATCCAGACGATGTCATTTATTTTTGGAATGAACAACTTTTGTTTTTGGTTAAAAGTTAATCTTATTGTTGTTTTAGTCTCACAATTCTAGACCAAGTGAAGTGAACTCGGATTAAGTACTTTAAAAAGCTCTCAACTCGGATTTAAATGTTGGTAGAAAGAGTTCATTATTTGTAAACAGAACTGAAAATTTTGGATCTTAAAATCGAGTTGAGGAGTGTTGGAAGGAAATATATATATGTGTACCTTTTTCTCAGTGTATCTTGATCTTGTTATAAGGTCGGTGAATATAAAAAACCGATATGCAAGTTGTTCAGAACTTGCATAACTTGCCACCTTTTTGTGTCGTGGCTAAGTAAAACAAGGTCACATAACTTCGTCACAATTCGATTAAAGAACGGCCCCAACCGAATCAAGTGTACTCGACTGTAATGGGACCATCAAATCATTTTTTGTGGATTTGATGAATGGACGAGCTTCGACCTTATCAAATCAATCGTGGGATTTGGATGTTTTATAAGGTATCAGCTAAACCGAGTGTAATCATTTTTACTCGATACCGAGTTTTCTCTTTTCATTACTCCGATTTTTTGTGAGAATTTCTTGAACATCATTTCACCCAAAAAGAATATTCTTCAAAAGGAAGTTTACATAGTCTCTGAAATGTTACTGATAAAATTTGTTTAGGAACACAACATTCCAGGGGTACTGATGAGGAGTACCATGGAGATATTCAATTCGGTAGGCGCCATGAGGTAACACTTGGCTGATCTTGAAAGTCCCTTCCCATTTCGGTTTAAGTGGCCCCGAGTCTGGTCCAGTGATTCTTTTGAGCACCAAGTCTCTAACTAGGAACATGCACGGTTTGAACTTTGAGTTGACGTACCTCTCGCTTCTTTGTTTATAAGCAGCATTTTTGAGCTCAGCAAGTGTACGGAGTTCATCAATTATGTCAAGATTAGCTTTCTTTTTTTTTTTTCAAATTGGATTCTTCGTCATAATTTTGAATTCGATAAGTTGTCAACGGGGATTACGACTTCTGATATGTATGTTAGGGAGAATGGAGTCTTGCCAGTGGACGTTCTTGCTGTAGTTTGGTACGCCCACAAAACATGAGGCAATTCTTCTGGCCACGCTCCTTTAGAAGCGTCAAGTCAGACTTTGAGACTGTTTTTTATTATCTTATTGACAGTTTCAACTTGTCCATTGGATTGAAGATGATATGGTGAGGAGTAAAGGTGTTTTATTCCATACTCTTTACAGAAGGTTTCGAGTTTCTTTACTTCAAATTGTTTGTCGTTGTCAGTAATGATGGAGTTCGGTACTCCAAACCGACAAATTATTGACTTCTAGATGAAGTCAATCATTTTTTGTTCGGTGATGGTTGCCAACGGCTCCACCTCGGCCCACTTGGTGAAGTAATCTTCAGAAACTACGGCGAATTTAACTCCACTCTTTCCAGTGGGTAAAGGACAGATCAGATATATTCCCCACTTTTCAAAAGGCCACGAACTGTAAACCGACTTGAGCATCTCGGGAAATTGATTAGTACTGGGTGCAAATATTTGACATTTCATACACTTGAGCACCCAGGCTGCAGCCTCCGACTTCAAAGTTGGCCAATAATATCCTTGTCGTAAAGTTTTATAGGCTAAGGCTTGGGCCCTAGGGTGTGTCCCGCAGATTCCTTCATGGAGTTCTTCTAAAACATATCGGGATTTCGATTCGTTCAAGCATTTCAAAAGTGGAACCGAGTATCCTCTCTTATAGAGGATTTCATTGTCCATAGTGAATCGGGCAGCTCGGATTTTGAGGACCCGAGCCTCTTTGGGATCTTTAGGTAAGGCCCAGGTTTCTAGATTTTGAATGATCGAATCCATCCAAGTCGGGGATTTTGAGGTACAACCAAGTCGGTGGCAAGAACTTCTTAGGGATGTGCAGACAGTTGTTCTGGTTACCCGACTTGGACATATCCTACACTTTCCATCCCGAAACTAGAGGCCAATCGTGATAGAGCATCGGCCTGCACATTTAGAGTTCGTGAAATGTGTTCGACTTGTACAGAGAATCTTGACAGTTTCTGCTTCGTCAGGGATAAGTATGGTATTAATCGAGGTTCTTTGACTTCGTAAGTTCCATTTATTTGATTGACGAGGAGCTGGGAATCAGAGAAAACTTTGAGATGTCCGATGTTCATTGACTCAGCTAAGCTTAATCCGAATAACATTGCATCGTATTCTGCTTCATTCTTCGTTGTTGGGAAGAGAAATTTAATAGAGTGGCAGAATAGCTTGTTCTTGGGATTGAATAAAACAATCTCTCATCCTGCTCGGTTCGTCATGGAAGATCCATCGATATAAAGAATCTATGGTTGGTCATTGTTTCGTACTTCCACAGTCGGCGTAAACTCCACAATAAAATCAGAAAGGGCTTGCGCGTTGATTGCGGTCCTCAGTTGATAATGAATGTCAAATTGACCGAGTTCTACGGCCCATTTAACCATACGCCTCGATGTGTCTAGGGGGTGTCAGATTTACCATAATGGATATGAAGTGCGGAGAGTTATCGAATGCTCCTGAAAGTAAGGACGTAATTTCCGAGCAGCAGTAATAAGTGCAAACACCAATTTTTCCATGGGAGGATAACACAATTCAGCGTCGTGAAGAGCTTTGCTGGCGTAGTATACTAGTGATTGTTGCGTTCCCTCTTCACGTACGAGGACAACACTGATCGCCATATTACTCACTCCTAGGTATAAGTATAGCATCTCTTCAGGAACCGGTTTTTGTAAAGTCGGTGGATGCATAAGAGCTTCCTTGATGCTGAGGAGAGCTTTTTGACAATCCTCAGTCCATTCAAAACGCTTTCCCTTTTTAATAGCTTCAAAAAAGGGTTTACAACAATCGATTGATTTCGATATAAACCGATTAAGTGTAGCAAGTCGGCCAGCCAAGGCTTGAACACCTTTGACCGACGTGGGAGGAGTCAAATCATGTATGGCTTTGATTTTGGCGGGATTAGCTTCAATTCCTCGTTGGCTAACCATGTATCCGAGGAACTTTCCAGACCCGACTCCGAAAGTGCATTTTTTGGGATTTAAAACCATGGAATAATCGCGAAGAATATTGAACATTTCTTGAAGGTGTCCAACGTGGTCGGACGCGTTTACTGACTTGACAAGCATGTCATCGACATAAACATGCATTGTGTGTCCAATCAAATTAGAAAACATCTTGTTGACAAGACGTTGATAGGTGGCCCCAGCATTCTTCAATCGAGAGGGCATCATCGTATAACAGTATAGGCCCCGAGCTGAATAGAAAGATGTATGCTCTGCATCCTCGGGGTCCATGGGAATCTGATTGTAACCCGAATAGGCATCCATGAAATTTATTAACTCGTGGCCCGAGGTGGAGTCGACCATGTATTCAATATGAGGAAGCGGATAGCTATCTTTCGGACATGCTTTATTTAAATCTAAAAAATCAATACACAGTCGCCATAAACCGTTGCTCTTTTTGACAAGAACATGGTCGGATACCCAATTGGGTACTTCGTTTTCTTAGTAAATTTGTTGTCGATGAGTTTTTTAACTTCCTCCTTTAAAGCCTTTTGACGATCTGGCCCCAGTTTTCTCCTTTTTTGCACAACAGGTTTAATGGTTTGATCCAGATTCAATTTGTGACTGGCTATTCCGGGGTCAATTTCCCTCATGTCCTCGTGTTTCCATGCAAAAACATCAGGATTATTTTGGAGGAACCTAATGAGCTCAGTTCGAATGGGTTCTTGAAGGCGACTTCCAATTCGTAACAACTTCTAGCACGTTGGTTCATCGACGTACATAAATCAATTCTATCTCTTCTCCCGGTTTACCCCGATAACTTCGGCTTTTTTCCTTAAACTGAGTTCGAGGATCCAACTCATCCTCTTCTCTTGCTGGTTCTTTTCCGGGTAGCCTCCCCTGTCTTCGTTTAAATTCAATTTTTCAACGTGTTCTGATGTTAAAGAAAATTCAGATTCTGGATTTCGGACCTCAGAATGGCGTGTTCCGAGGTTGAGGGTGATCGTGGTTGACCAACTGAAGTAGTTGATTGAATTTCGTTAGTCTGAACAGTGATAATAAGCTCTTGAGCTTCTTTCTGATCACCTTAATGAGTGCCTTCTCCATGCATTGTCGAAAATTTGAGGGGATAATGGAATATAGATACAACAACTCGGAGCTTGTACAGAGCAGTTCTTCCAATTATAGCATTGTATTCATTGTTGATGTCGAGGACTTTGAAGGTTTCCATAACAAGTTTTGTCGCGCGTCCGGGAACACCGAAGCGAATGGGCAGAGTAATCTCACCGATGGGTCGGGAGATACTTCCCATGAATCCTTGTATTTGGTCATTACAAGGCTTAATGTCGGCGGGATCAAGGCTCATTTTCTCAAATGCTCTCAACATCAAAATACTTGAGTAGGACCCAGTATCAATCGTAACGCGATGAACGGGAATTCCGCATATGGAAATGGTGATAACCAGGGCGTCAGAATGTGTATGTGCAAAGAGATTTGCGTCTTCAACGCCTGAAGGTGATAGGACAATTCCTGGCATTGATGATATCTCATAGGTCAGTAGTAAGAACTTGTTTACCCAAATTGTAAGCTTGTCGAGCATAAGCTTTGATTTGATGTCGGGATAAAACAATCCTGGTGTTATTGGTATTCACTCAATGAATAGTTGTACGTTGTGGACTTGGGGATCGACCTCTCTTAGGCTTTCGTGTATTGTCGGGCAGCTTGGTATTTGATGTGTCCGAGGTAAATACAAACACTTCTTTATCCCCTTGTCGTATTCTCTTTGGAACAACATTTAGGTCATCATCTACATCATCGTCATAAGGCTCGACTTGGCGCTTTGGCCCTGGTCTTTAGATGTCGGGATTTTGTGAAAATCTTCTAAGTTGAGGATGACCGATTAGCCTAGCAATGTAGCTACTAAACTCAAACACTCATCAGTGTTATGCCCGGGTGATTTGTGATAATCGCAATACCGCGACTTGTCCAGTTTATCTTCGGGGACTCGGACCGGTTTGGGCTCAGGCAGAATGCCATTTTCTTTTAGTTTCTCATAAATTGTGGCGGCCCCAGCCGAACAACCTGTTTGATATCCCGACTTTAAATCGCTGGCATATTGCCTCCTTGCTTCTTTCACCTCGGGATCATTGGCATCTCCCCTCGGGAAGCCCCCGAATTGGGATTTACATTGCTTCCCGCCGAAAGACTTGTTTTTCTTTTTGCCTTCCGTCCCTGACTTGAGCTGTTTCTGTAACACCCCGCTATTTCATGAATTTCAGAGTGCGCTTTTCGTAAATTTTCTAAATGAAATAAATAAAATATTTCTTTTGCGAAATCTGATTCGGGGTGTTACAATAAAAATATGACTTGATTTGAAAACCGTTATTTAAGGAAAATAAAACGGTTATAAACATAGTACCCGACTAGAGTCGGTTCAAAAACTGGTCTAGTAAACTGTACAGTAGCGGAAACTGTAGTGTAGCCAAAACATTATTTACATATATATACAAATGTCCTGAACCCGGTCGTCAGCTCACCCCTCGGCTCCGACCCTGTGACCTGAAAAACATGAATAATGTGGGGGCGTGAGCACTAATCCACTATGCTCCGCAGAAACTCATACTGAAGTAAACAGTGAAAATAATAACAATATCATGATCCTGGTATATACATAACCGGAACATGAAACCGGTAATAAACATGAACCTGATAATCATCACATGAACCATGACCGTTACCTCATCTGCCAGCATAAAATGCCGGACACCGTGTGCACACTCTAGTGGGTAGACTAGGCTACTAGAACCTAAAATGGACCGGCGACCATTCCGAGCGGATACATGACATGAAATACATACCTCAAACATGGTACCGTAATTATAATCAATGTAATACCCAGTCTGAGTCCCCACCTGATCCGTGAACATGAAAAAGTAGTGTTGATACTCGTGTCTGATCAAACTGAAATATAATATAAACAATTACTAAGTACTATGCTCAGACTGATAAAATTAACTATTTAATATGTTAAGATGCTCTACTGGACTTGACATGATATTTGGATTTAATCATATAACTGAACCCGATTAAATACGGAATTAAACTGATATTAATTTACTGAACTGAACTGGACCCGGAATTTTAACTGAAAATAGGATTTAAAACATGAATCGGGACTAAAACTTGAAATTATGGGCTGAACCAGTTCAACCGGTCTGAACCGGGCTAAACCGGTCTGGACCGGACCGCTGGCCTGACCTGGCCGGGCGGTCTGTGCTGGCTCGGCCAACGGGCCTGCCGAGGCTGC